ATTTCTTTAAGTGTTTCTCCGCCATTCTATATTCTTCTGTTGAGAATTACCCGTTTAGCTTTGTACCCCATTTTTTAATTTGGATTATTTGTTTTGTTGGTGTTTAATTTCTTGAGTTCTTTTTATATTGTGGATAATAGCCCTCTGTCATTTATAGGGTTGGTGAAGATCCTTTCCCCATCTGCAGGCTGTCATTTTGTCCTGATGACAGTGTCCTTTGTTTTACAGAAGCTTTCCAGTTTCAAGAGGTCTCATTTATTGATTGTTGTTCTTAGAGCCTGTGCTGCTGATGTTTTGTTCAGGAAGTTGTCTCCTGTGCCAATGAGTTCAAGGCTCTTCCCCACTTTTCCTTTTAGTGTGTCTGGTTTTATGTTGAGGTCTTTTATCCACTTGGACTTTACTTGTGTGCAGAGTGAGAAGTATGGATCTATTTGAAGTTTTCTACATGTAGACATCCAATTAAACCATCATCATTTATTGACCATGCTATCTTTGTTTCCATTTTATGGTTTTGGCTTCTTTTTAAAAAATCAAGTGTCTGGTGGTGTGTGGATTTATTTCTAGCTCTTCAATTTGATTCCATTAATCCACCAGTCTGATTCTATGCTAGTAGTATGCAGTTTTATTATTACTGTTCTTCTATGGTATCTGTTGAGATCAGGGATGGAGATACCTCCAGAAACTTTTTTATTGAACAGGATTGTTTCACCTATTCTGGGATTTTTGTGTTCCATATGAAGTTGAGAATTGTTCTGTCAATGTCTGAAAAAAATGTTGATATTTTAATAGGAATTGCATTGAATATCTCAATTGCTTTTGGTAAGATAGCCATTTTTACTATGTTAATCCTACTGAGCCATGAACAGGGGAGATCTTTACATCTTCTGATAACTTCTTATATTCCTTTCTTCAGAGACTAGAAGGTTTTTTTTTTTTCGTACAAGTCTTTCACTTGCTTGGTTAGAGTTACACCAAGTTACTTTATGTTATTTGTGGCTATTGCTAAGGGAGTTGCTTCCCTAATTTCTTTCTCAGCTTTTTTATTCTTTTGCATACAGGAGGGGTACTGATTTTTTTTTTTTTAGTTAATTTTGTATCCAGCCACTTTGATGAAAGTGTTCATCAGCTGTAGGAGTTCCCTGGTAGATTTTTTTTGGGTTGCTCATGTATACTATCATATCATCTACAAATAGTGATACTTTGATTTCTTTGTTTCCAATTTGAATCCCCTTAATCTCCTTTAACTGTCCTATTGCTCTCGCTAGGATTTCAAGTACTATGTGGAAGAGATATGGAGAAAGTGCGCAGCCTTTCCTTGTCCCTGATTTCACTGAGACTGTTTTAAGTTTCTCTCTGTTTAGTTTGATGTTGGCTGTAGGCTTGCTGTATATTGTCTTTACTATGTTTAGTTATGAGCTTTTTATACCTGATCTCTCCATGTCTTTTAACATGAATGGGTGTTGGATTTTGTCAAATACTTTTTTAGCGTCTATGAAGATGATCATGTTTCTTTTTTCTTTTAGTTTGTTTGTATGTTGTATGGCATTGATGGATTTTGTATATCGAACCACCCCCACATGACTGGGATGAAGCCTACTTGGTCATAGTGGATGATACCTTTGAGATGTTCTTGGATTTAGTTTGTAATTACCTTATTGAGTATTTTTGTATCGAAGTTCTTAAGAGAGATTGGTCTGAAATTTTCTTTGTTGGGTCTTAGTGTGGTTTAAATATCAAGGTGACAGTGGCCTCATAGAATGAATTTGGTAATGTTCCTTCTTTTTCTATTTTGTGAAATAGTTTGAAGAGTATTAGAGTTAGGTCTTCTTTGAAATTCTGGTAGAATTCTGAGCAGAAACCATCTCCCTTGGGCTTTTTGTTTTTGGATGAGAGATTTTGGTGATAGCTTCTATTTTTTTTTAGGGGATATAGGACTATTTAATTTATTTACCTGATCTTGATTCAAATTTTTTTAAATGAAATCTATCAACAAAATTGTCCAATTCATTTCAAAGTTTTTTTTTTTTTTTGCATATAGGCTTTTGAAGTAGGATCTAATGAATCTTTGGATTTCCTCAGTGTCTGTCATTATGTCCCCTTTTTTATTTCTGATTTTGTTGATCTGGATAGTGTCCCTTTGTCTTTTAGTTATTTTGGCTAAAAGTTTGCCTATATTGCTGATTTTCTCAAAGAACCAGCTCTTGGTTTCACTGATTCTTTGAACTGTTCTTTCTGTTTCTAATTTATTGATTTCAGCTCTGAGTTTTATTATTTTCAGCTGTCTACTTCCCTGGGATGTGTCTGCTTCTCTTTTTTTCTAGTGCTTCCAGGTGTGCAGTTAAGTTGCTTGTGTGAGATGTCTCAAATTTCTTTATGAAGGCACTTTGTTCTATGAACTTTCCTCTTAGCCCTGCTTTCATTGTGTCCCATAATTTTTGGTAAGTTGTGTCTTCATTTTCATTGAATTCAATGAAATATTTAATTTCTTTCTTTCCTCCCTGAACCAGCTGTCAATGAGTAGAGAGTTGTTCAGTTTCCCTGTGTGTAGACCATTGTCTTGTTAATTCAATAAAGCCAGCAGTTGTCTAGACTCTTAGAGTACTCCCTCACTGTAAAAAGCAATCTCTCTTTACATATTCTTCTCACAGAGATTCTTTCTTGTATATTTTCATGCAGAGGGTCAAGGATCAGATCACTTTGGGATTCGGCTTTGAGTTAAAAAATTATTGGCCATGAACTTGACCTTGATATTAATAAAAAATTCATTATGTGAGAGATCTTAGAAGAAAAGCTTGTGCAGCTATTATTAGTGATGTAAAGGATGTCATTAGCAATGGTTCATGACAGTTTCTGCCAGATCAATCAAGTGTTCTTGTCCCAAATGAAGGAAGGATAAGCATGCGCACACACACACACACACACACACACACACACTCACACACACAGAGTAAGAGAGAGAGACAGAGAGAGAGAGAGACAGACAAACACAGAGATACACATTTATGGTGTTTTCTTCAAATTCTTGCATTCTCAAAGGCAACCTCTAATGAAAATCAAGATAGCAAAAATGTTCTTAGGTCTTGCCTGTTCTCCACGCTTTGAGAACATTATTCGACTTATTTTTTCTCATTAACTCATCTTTTCTAAATATCTCATTTCTCTGTCTGGAATTCTTTCTTTTATGTAATCAAGGTCCCTCTGAAACTTTCAATCCACAGGAAAGACTAATGAGATTTGTTCACAAAGATACAGCTAATTAAAAACTGTTTTCAGATCCATAAGTTCCATTATTTTTCTTACTGTACACTCTTTTTTTTTTCTAAGAGTGTTATGACTTTAGATTTTATGATTAGGTGCACAACATGTTGTGAATTAACTTTTGTTGGTAGTGTGCATGATTCTTTCATTAGCAGTCATAAGCAACATTCTTCCCATCTTCAATGTATTTTTCTTCAGAGAAATTCCAAATGTAATTATCCTTCAGCACCCATTCTCTGAGCCCAATTACCATGCAATGCACATTTGGTAATATGTAGAGAAATATTCAGGCTACAGTGTATGTGTGTATGGTGGTGAGGAGGAAAACATGGCATGAGGTGGTAAGCACCAAACTTTCTGGGTTTTGTCGTTGTTTTTCTCCATTATACAGGACAACAGCACAACAAAAATTTGGTTTCTCCAAATGTGTCAATGCAATAATAACTTTATCTGAGTAAAGATGTGAACAGTTTAAGGGGACTAACACATACTAGTATATTTTCTTTTATCTAGTAAACTTCTGATACATTCTGTAAATTGTCTCAAAACAATTTGTTTTATGTATTTGAAATTCTTATTGCTTGTACAAATTGCTCCCAAGAATTTCTGCATGATAACTGAGAGCTACCACTCATTTAGAATTTATCAATTTTCCTGTATATTTTATAGTAATTCATAGGAATATACAAATATAAATAAACAAGGACTGGCATACTCTGTAGTTTCATAGCTGAGAAGTGAAAAGTTCTACTGTAAATTTGTACTAACGTGAGAGCCTGTTCATACTCTTTTATCCTCTTCACACAAGTGTTTTTTTTTAATGTACATTATTAATCTTTGGTCAACAGTTTATTACTAAAATCACAAGAAAAGTACAAATGGCAAATGGGCATGTCCCTGGACATTTCATCTTGTAGAGCTGATGAAGAGAATGGCAAAGGGGACCACTAACAGTTCTGCTCTGGGGACTACATACTCCTGCTGGAAAATTATAAATTGAGTAGAATGTTGAGTCCCTAAAGGACTGATGTCAGTTTTATGGTACAAACTGACCAATTTTTACCTCAAGGGACTCATTTAATATGAAGAATATCATAAAGTAGAGCATATTTTTCTGTGCTTCTAAGGAGTTTTCTCAGAAATCTTAACCTTGAGACACTGGAGTCTCATACAAGAAATCTCTTTCCTTTCTTTGTTTCTTTCTTTGTTTCATTCTTTGTTTCTCTCTGTCTCTTTGTATGATACAAGAATATTGGTCAAATTATCAAAGAGAAGCCATATCATTTTTCTCAAGGAACCCTCTTCTCCCAAGTGAGACACATTGTTTACACTGATTGCAGTTACCTGATTCATTATTAGCAATCTTAGCTCTCTGAACACAGTATGGAAGAAGACATCACAAACTCCAATGTCAGGAAAGGCTCCAGATTAATCAAGGTGAGTGCTGAATAATCTTTATCTTGATATTTTACCTTCAAACCCACAGCCATATAAATCCCAAGTTCTGAGAAAAATGTGTACATCATTCTTTTCAGCCTTAATCCTGAGTAAACACTAGGTGAACAAAAGGATGCAATGCTTAAAAAATCTTTCTGGAGAGAGAAACATTTCACGTGTTTGGGAAAGGAAGTAGGGACTCCTCAGGACTCTGTTACCTCATTCAAGCTTGTATAGCAATAATTCCACTTTTCTCTTAGAGTGGTTGATGATTTATGGGTTAATACTGCTTTCTACGTTTACTCTTACAGACGCCACACACGATGCAAATGACTGTGGAAAACGATTCTTCAGTGTCTGAGTTCATTCTCATGGGGCTGACAAATCAACCCGAGCTTCAGCTGCCCTTATTTATTCTCTTCTTGGTGAACTACACAGCTACTGTGATGGGCAACTTGAGCTTAATGAATCTCATTTGCCTAAACTCAAACCTCCACACCCCCATGTACTTTTTCCTCTTCAACCTGTCCTTCATTGATTTCTGTTATTCAATGGTCTTTACCCCTAAAATGCTGATGAGTTTTGTTTTAGAGAAGAACACTATCTCCTTCGGAGGATGCATGGCTCAGCTGTTTTTCTTCCTATTTTTTGTGAACTCTGAGAGTTATGTGCTGACAGCCATGGCCTATGATCGCTATGTGGCCATCTGTAAGCCCCTGCTGTACAAAGTTGTTATGTCCCCTAAGATCTGCTGTCTGTTGGTATTTTGTTCTTACTTGATGGGTTTTGCTAGTGCCTTGGCTCACACTGGGTGTATGATCCGACTCAGCTTTTGTGATGCTAATGTCATCAACCACTACATGTGTGACATTTTCCCTCTCCTACCCCTCTCCTGCAGTAGCACCTATGTCAATGAGCTCATGAGCTCTGTTGTGGTGGGTACAGCCATCATTTTGTGTTGCCTCATTATCTTAATCTCATATGCTCTGATCCTTTTCAATATCATTCATAGGTCATCAGGTAAGGCTTGGTCCAAAGCCTTGAGCACTTGTGGTTCTCACATCATTACTGTTAGTCTCTTCTATGGTTCTGGGCTGCTTGCTTATATCAAGCCATCATCTAATGAAACTGTGGGTCAAGGAAAATTTTTCTCAGTGTTTTACACTTTATTGGTGCCCATGCTGAATCCTCTTATTTATAGCCTCAGAAACAAGGATGTAAAAGTTGCTGTGAAGAAAACCTGGAAAAGAATTACAAGCTGACTTATTCTACTACTTCCTCACCACTTCTAGTTTGAAGTGTGTGTATGTGTGTTTCTTATTTTGACCACATTACTTATATTGTAGTCTTTTTATTTATTATCAGCCTTCAATTCCATTAATATAATTTATACCATAACATCGCTTTTCTTTTTAGACCATGCAAGTGAGTACTGTGTGGATATGAGATATGAGATATCCTCAGATTCAATGTTTGTCTAAGATTATTTCAAGTTCATTGATTGCTGTATTAGATTGAAACTCTGGTCAGCTTTTTTACTTTACCTGAGTATAAAAATCCTTAGTACTTTTTATTTCATCTTTCTTTCAAAAATACTTGTACATTTAATTTAAAATTTATATGAATATGTCGAACCTCCCTGAGTGTATGTGTACTATATATATTTGGTAGCCTTTTGAGGATAGAGGAGGATGTCAGATTCCCTAGTAGTGGAGTTACAGAGAGCTCAGAGTCACCATGTAGGTGCTGGGAAAGGAATCCTTGTGTTTTGAAAGAGTGTTAAGAGCTCTTAAGAGCTGAACCCTCCCCTAGGTGCCCAATGCTTTTTTTTTTTTTTTTTTTTTTTTTTTTTTTTTTTTTTTTTTTTTTTTAGCCAGTAAAATTCCTGGAGTTCTATGCTTCATTTCCAATTCATTTCTTTCTGTTTTTTTTTTTTGACATAATTTTGATGTGTTTCCTTATTTGAAGGTTTATTATTACCTCCGTACTCATTCAAAGAGATGTAAAGACATTTGTGGAGATTGTGTTCAATGCAGTCCCCTCTTCCCTTACTAGAATATACACATGAAGTCTAAGTTGCCCATCTGCTACATTTTATTTAGTAGGAGTCCTAGGTCTAGTCCTTTCATGGACCTTGTTTGATACTTCAGTTTCAGCAAGCATCTCTTGGGCCTGGTTTGTTGGCTCTTTTGGCCTTGTTGTAGATCTAATGGCACTTCAAGGTCTTTTTCTCGCTCCTTCTACTTTTCCACAAGTCTCCCTCTTTGTTGCCATATGTTTGGTTGTGAGTTTCAGTATCTGTTTTGAGGTACCACTGAGTGGATTCTCTCAAAGGACCTCTTTGACAGGCTTTTGTCTGGAAGCTTAGCAGATTATCATTCATAATGTCAGAGGTTGGCACTCTCCTAATTGTTTGGGTATTTGGTTGGGTCAGGCATTGATTGGGTTTTTTTTTTTTTTTTCTGTACTTGCTCTGTCTTTTTTTTTGCACATCTTGCAGACAGGGTAAATTTGGGGTTGAAGATTTTGTGGGTGTGTTGGTGTTAACCTCCCTTTACTAGTATACTAATCTAGTTAGAGGGTGTCCTTTTCAGTTTCTATGGCCTCTGCTACTAGTAGTCTCTGCCTGAATTCCCCTCATATTCTCTCAGGAGCCTACTCCAGCTTGTCACAGAGATACTCCATGCTCAGTTTCTCTTTTCACTAAAGGCCTTCTGTCCTCTTTCCCTTTCTCTCTCTAGGTCTGGTCTCCACTCTCCTAACTCTTTACATCCCCTCTCTTCCCTTATTCCTTCTATTCAACCGCTACTTCGGTCTATCCTGTCCCCCCTTCTGAATCAGATTTATGCATCCTCCCTTGGATCCTCTATTTTGCTTATCTCTTTTGCATCTGTGCTTCATAGTATGCTTATTCAGTAATTTATGGCTAAAATGCACATATGAGCACACACCATGTGTTTCTTTCTTATTGTGTGTATTGGGTGTAAAATATGCTTTATAGTGTTCATGAAAAAACCCAAAGATATGTGGATGATGAATGTTTAAAACTCCCTCAGTGAAACTCCCTTCTTACCTTGCAGTCAGAGTCTGTTTTCCTCTAGGAACCATGTGTGTACTGATAATATATTCTTAGGCAATGTCTTGTGAAGACAATATGTTTCATGAGTTTCCTGAGTATTATAAGCACCTGTCTTCCCTCCAGAAGCCAATATTCCAATTTACAGAGTATAACTACATAATAGGGGATATGTCATGCTTAGGATTCAATAGATGATGAAAGTATAATTTTTATGTTAATATTGTTTAAAAATTCTTAACTGATGTTCCAACCAAGGACCACTCATGGAGATGGCCTGAAACTCCTGCACAGAGGTAGCCTATGGCAGTTCAGTATCCAAGTGGGCTCCATAGTAATGGGGACAGGGACTGCCTCTGACATGAACTGATTAGCCTGCTCTTTAATTACCTCCCCCTGAGGGGGAGCAGCCTTGCCAGATTACAGAAGAAGACAATGCAGCCACTCCTGATGAGACCTGATAGACTAGGATCAGAGGGAAGGGGAGGAGGACCTCCCTTATCAGTGGACTGGGAGAGGGACACAGGTGGGGAAGAAGGAGGGTGTGATTGGGAGGGGAGGAAGAAGGGAGGTACAGTGGGGATACAAAGTGAATAAACTGTAATTAATAAAAATTAAAAAAATAAAATAAAAAATACTCATAACAGCAAGGGAAGCCACAAAGCAAACCATTTGAAAAGAAACAATACACTTTGATTGAACAGTGTGTCACTGAAGAAATAAGAAAGGAATTTAAAAATTATATAATAAAATGAAATTAAAACAAAACAAAATTCTAATACATTTGACTTAGAACTTGAAAATTAGAAAAATAATGCTTCTGGGAAATCAAATCAGTCTGACAATCAGTGCTGTTATGAATTTTTATTTATTTTAATGGTAGTATAACCATTGAATATTCTTGATTTCTCAAGAGAAGCCTAAATGCTTAGAGTCTTTTTCAGTTTTTCTTTTACATTTATTACAGTGTGTGACTAAACAGAGTTGTGAAAGGTCATTCTGTATTTGAGATTCCTATGTTGAGAATTTTTTATTTAGAACTGTTTCCCATCTTTTAAACTGGATTATTTGGTGTGTTGGTGTCTTTTTCTTGACATGTATGCATACACACACACACACACACACACACACACACACACACAAACACACAGGATATATAGTCTTCCATTTGATATGAATTGAATAAAAATCTTTTCACGTTCTGTAGCCCTTTTCTTTGTCTGAATGGCAGTGTCATTTGCCTTACAGAAACCTTTCAGTTTTATTTATGAATTATTGATCTTGTTGCCTGTAGTAATGGTGTTCTGTTCTGGAAGACTTCTTTGCCAATGCTTTCAAGGCAACTTCCCACTTTCTCTTCTATCAAGTTCAGTGTATCTGGTTTTATGTTGATGTCTTTAATACATTTGAACTTGAATTTTGTGCAGGGTGAAAAGTATGGATCTGTTTGCTTTCTTTTACGTGTGCACATTGTTTGACCAGCACCATTTGTTGATGATGATGTCCTTTTTCCACCGTGCACTTGTGGCTTCATATAAAAAAATGAGTTGCACATATATGCATGTATTTAAACTTGAATTTTTAATTTGATTATATTGATCAACATGTTTGTTTTTATATTAATAGTGTGCAGTTTTTACTACTATATCTTTCCAGTACAACTTGAAATTGGGAATGTTGAACTCTCTAGTAGTTCTGTTGTTTAGGATTGTTTTAGCTATTCTGGATTTTTTGTTTTATTCATATGAATTTGAGAATTACTCTTTTAAGAGCTGTGAAATATTGTGTTAAAATTTTGATGGGTATTGCAATGATTCTGTACTTCGCTTTTGGTAAGATGACCATTTTTTACTATGTTAATCCTAGCAATCCATGAGCAAGAGAGATCCTTCCCTCATTTGATATATTCTTCAATTTCTTCTTCAAGGACTTGAATTTTTATTTATAAGAGTTTTACTTGCTTGTTTAGAATTACCCTAAGATTTTTTTTTGTATTATTTGATTCTATTGTAAAAAGTGTTTTTGGCTTGAGTTCTTTCTCAATATGTTTATCATTTGTATATAGGAAGGTTACCGATTTTTTTTTAAAGTTACTCTTATAGCTAGGTACTTTGCTGAAAGTGTTTATCATGTTTAGAAATTCCCTGGTTTATATATACTATCATTTCACTGGCAAATAATGATACTTTCTCTTTGTTTTCCAATGTATATATCCCTGTTCTCCTTCAGTGGTCTCATTGTCCTAGCTAAGAGCTCAAGTACTATAACGAATAGGTAGGGAGACCGTTGGCAACTGTCAGCAGCCATGCTTACTTATCAAGGTCATCAGATATGGCTTCTAGGAATTGGACCAGGCCAGGTGGAGGGGCCCCAGCAAAACTTAAACTATTACAATATTATTGAGAGCAATCAGACTTTTTAAAATTTATTTTTCTTTTTTTATGTTCTTTTTTTATTTTTTTAAAATTTTATTAGTTACACTTTATTCACTTTGTATCCCCCCATAAACCCCTCCCTCCTCTCCTCCTAATCCCACCTTCCCTCCCTCTTCTTCATGCATACCCCTCCCCAAGTCCACTGATAAGGGAGGCCCCCCTCTCCTTCCTTCTGATCTTAGTCTATCAGATCTCATCAGGAGTGGCTGCATTGTCATTTTCTGTGGCCTGGTAAGGCTGCTCTTCCCTCAGGGGGAGGTGATCAGAGAGCAGGCCAATCAGATTATGTCAGAGGCAGTCCCTCTTCCTGTTACTATGTAACCCACTTGGACACTGAACTGCCATGGGCTACATCTGTGCAAGGGTTCCAGGTTTTCTCCATGCATGGTACTTGGTTGGAGTATGAGTCTCTGGAAAAACCCGTGTGTTCAAATTTTCTGGTTCTGTTGCTCTCCTTGTGGAGTTCCTGTCCTCTCCAGATCTTACTATTTCCCACTGCTTTCATAAGATTCCATGCACTCTGCCCAACAGTTGGCCATACGTCTCAGCATTGCTTTGATAGCCTGCAGGGCAATTCTTATTTTATTTTATTTTTTAAATATTAGTTACAGTTTATTAACTTTGTATCCCAGCTCTAGCCCACTCCCTCATTCTCTCCCAATCCCACCCTCCCTCCCTCATCTCTCCCCTGCCCCTTTCCAAGTCCACGAATAGGGGAGATCTTCTCCCCTTCCACTTGATCATAACTTAT